AGACGGTGCGAATAATAAGAAAACAAGAACACAAGGATGAATGGAAAAGAGAGATAATGTCCCGGATGATGGAGTAATTGGAGAGGATTTGATTTGGGGAAGGAAAGCAGCAGTACGTCGAGTAGGGGCTGGGGGAAGTCGCGTAGCGTGAGGCGAAGGCTGTTGTCAGCAAGGGCGAGCGTCACATCGCTCTTGCGAATGCCGCGCGGAACGGGGAACGAGACCCGCACCAGCGTCTCCGTTTGTGACCACCTCCACCCGCTGCCTCCTCCGACTCCTCCGGGACCGGGAGTCCTCCTCATCCTCTCTATCAAGATGAAAACAAGCTCTCACTCTCGTCTAATCTCGAGGATTCCTCGGCCGATCGAGTTCGTGAGCAACACGAGGCCAAGCCACCGTTTCCTGGGCTTTGGAAAATTTAAAAGAAAATGATATCAAAGGAATGCTTGGCATGCTCCTGATTTTTGTTTCAGCAGAAGAACACCTCTTCGTTTCTACGTGAGCCCTAAATAGGGTGGATACCTTTCGAGTTCTGGCAGTCGCGCCTTCGAGTAACGGTAACGGTAAAGAAGCAACAACGTGTTGTAACCGTACCACGCAAGTGAAGTGAAATCAACATCATTGTGATCACAAATTCAATCCGCTACTTGCATTTTTGCCAATCATCACATACCTCGCCTCCCAATGCGACAACGATCTTCCAGCACCCACAAAGGTACTCCCCTTCTGATGCCCCCATCCCTCCTCTTCATTTAAATCCATCTGCTCTCTCGACCGGCCCGCTTTACCTCCGTCGTTAGGTGAAATCATTTTTGGGGGCTCACGCACCCACGCACGCGACAGGGAAGGGCCGTGTGGAGGTGGCACAATGCATGGAGGCACAGAAGGTGTGGGAGGTCCGCGGCCTCGTCCTCTGGCGCCCGCTCCCGCCACCAGGCAAGTGCTCTCTGCTCTCTCTCCCTCTTCTGCTTGTGTGTTGGCGGCTTTGTTCACGTCCCTGCCTTGTGCGCGCGTGTGCGTGTGCGGTGGTGCGTGCGCTGCAGGGTGGTTTTCGTTGGGCGATTGGGCGGAGGAGGTTGAGGGCCGACCGAGCGACAACGATGTGTGTCTCGGCTGGCTGCCCGTCGTGCGCGAGGACGCGGCCACGACGACCACCACACAGGAGGGCGGCGGTGAGAAGGCGCTCTTCGGCACCGAGCTGCAGGAGCTGGCCCCACCGCGAGGGCCGGCCCGTGCCGGCGGTGATCAGCGACGCCATCTCCTACATCGAGCGGCACGGCCTGCAGG